TCAATTTTTATACTATTTACAATTATTTCCCCAGGGTTTTTTTCCTGTTAAAAATAATTTGATTCGATTCAATTCCTTATCTTTTAAAGCATTGAATTTCAGGTCCTCCCAATTAGTAGGACCACCATTTAACATATGTGATAAAGCACAAATAATGCTTTTTCTTTATTTACTGTTATATTTTTGTTAAAGTCAAGATCTTTCTCACTGGATTCCAACCTAGATAAAATATCTGGCAAACAATTTTCTTTGCCTCGAAGATATCTAATCTCCACGCCCACCAACAACAACCAACGTTGTAGCCGAGGCGATAGCTTTAACTCCCGATTATCCTTCTTAAATAGATGGATTAACGGCTTGTGATCGGTAAAAATCACAAATTTTTTTTCAATCAGATATTCCCTATACTTTGTTAAACCAAAAATAATAGCCAAGGTTTCCTGTTCAATCACAGAATACCTCGTTTCCACGTCTCGAAAAACTCTTGAGAAAAATATAATTATAATGGGTCTTTTCATACCCTCAACTAAATGCATAATGCCCCTCCAACCCCCTTGTTAGAAGCATCCACTGCCAAGATTATTTCCAAATCATTGTTAAAACAAACTAAAATCGGCTCCTCACCAATTTTTTCTTTTAAAATATCAAAGACCTTTTGTTGTTCCATTTTCCACTCAAAATGAACGCCCTTTTTTAATAGGTCATACAATGGAGATGCCACTTTTGCAAAATTCTCCATGAAACGATGATAATAATTTATCATACTCCAAAATGATTATAACCCCGCTTTATTGTTTGGCGGTTTCATATTTGTTATATTTTTTAAATTTTTCTTAAGAGGTTTCACCTCCATTCCATTTATTTGATGTCTTAAATAGGTAACTTCTGTTACCCCAAGGACACTTTTTTCTTTACTGGTCCTTAGACCTTTATCACTAATTCGCTTCAAAACCTCTTCCAAACGTTGATTATGTTGCTCTTGTGTTATACCAGTGACCAACACACGATCCATATGGTAATAAACTCCTTCAAGGCCTTGGAAAACTGAAGCCACAGTACGCTGAAATATCGGCGCTGACACACTTAATCTAAACGGTAACCTGCAAATGGCAAATAAACCTTTAGGAGTCGTTATTGTAAACAATTTTTGAATTTCTTCTTTCAAAGGTAATTGTAAATACACAGAAGAAAAATAAACTTTGGAAAAATATTTGGCATTTCCTCAATTTTAGGCAATGGATATTTTACCTCTACTACCCATCTATTTAGGGTTACACGGAAATCAGCACATAGCCTAAACTTTCCGTTTGATTTTTTTAACAGGAACTAATAGGGTGGCTCACTCACTATAATCAATTGGAATAATGATGCCATCTTTAACGCATTGATCAAATTCTTCATCAATTTCCTTTTTCCATTCAAAAGGAACTGGGCGACACGCTAGAAAAATAGGCGAAAATCCCTCTTTTAATTTTACATCCACTTGATAATCATTAAGACAGCCTAAAGTGTCTTCGAAAATTATTTCATATTTTTCCATTAAAAGAGATATATCCTCACGCATTTTATGTAATTCATTACCGTTAAAAGCAATCATTTGGTTTTCAATAATTTTAATATTGTCTTCCACCATTAATTCCGTGGAAATTATATACATATCAGAATTAAAAGTTGAATTCCCTTCTTTAACGGTTAAGTTCGTTCTTTCTATTTCACAAACTTTATCTCGAGCATTATTAGCAATATTTTTGTTTTTAGTCTCATTTATGACCGAACCATTCCGTGGCAAAAATATTCCAATAATTATTGAAAGGACCTAACTTGATAATCCAATCCTATCCCATGATGGTTTCCACATCTTTCTTCACTACCCACAAATCTAGGAAAAATGTCGTATCATTGAGAATGATTTCCAATTTAGTTTTTCCCAAAACTACTATTTCGGATCCATCAAACTACCTGACGCACATAGATTCTTTTCTAAGTTTACCCCCAGGCCAATACTTATAAAAATTTCTAGACATTATTGAAATGCTAGCCCCTGTGTCGAACAACATGTCGATATTTTAATTCGTTTTTGTTTTCAAATAAAACATCTTACTATACCACCTCATTTTGCTATATTTTACATACATATAATAAGATTTAATTAGGGATATAAAAATAAAAACATAAAACAAAAAAAATATAAAAAATTGAATAAAACAGCGAAAAAAAAACAAAATAAATTTACATCTAGATAAATTTTTTAAACATTCGCTCAAATTTTTTTCCCTTAATTGCTCAGAATTAAAAATAGCCCAACCCTAAGAATTTTCCTGAATAATACAGATATTTTCTTAAAATATAAGGCGATACTAAATAAAGATTTTCATTTTCTCAGAATTTTTTTATTGAATTTCTCAAAAGATATACTTAAATTTTGAGTACTTTAAATTAGTCAACACTCTAGGTCCTAAGGTGTGGGGGGGGGGAGTTGAAACTTTTTATAATAAAATATCTCGACAAAAGGGTATCAAATAAAAGCTGATAAAAATATTTTTCGATTGCTGTTATAAAAATCACTCTAGGATGGAGGGGGATGTTAAACCTAACTTTTTATAAAAAAATACATCTCGTCAAGTAAGTTAAAAAGACTTTTAAGGGATATTATGATATTATCACTCTAGTTATCTTTTGATTGCTCTGTTAATTATCATTCATCATCTTTGGATCTGTTATGTGGGAGAGGGGGATTTATGACATGTTTTTAAAACAGTAATTATGAATATCGGTATCAAGCGAGATTTATTGAACCAATTGTTAAAAAAATCACTCATCTTTAAAGAAGATTGGTTATTTAAAAAAATTTCAAAGTTATCATTTTTTGATAAATTGTAAATAAAACTGAATCGAAGATTATTTTAGTAAAAAATTCATATATTTTAAAGAAAATTTTCAGAGGATATATAATATTTTTTATGGCGTTTTATAAAATATGTTCTTGTATATAAATTTTTGCTCAAGGGAACCGAAAGGAGACAATATATTTTTTAAATTGATAATCATATACAAATTTTTAAAATCAATAAAAGGTCTTGTCCTAGATCGGCTTAGCTATTTAATATCAACTAAATTAGCCAAAAAAAGCAGAAGAAAATTCTTTTTTTTATAAAACGAGGAAAAATATTAAAAATAACAATGTCACCAATTACTTAAATCAAAATAAAATAGGGTGCCTCATTGGAAAACTTTTTAGCCTGCAAAAGTATCAAATTAAGCGTTTTAGTTTTATATCTAACCAATTATTATTCTGGGCAATTTAGATTTTTTATCCAAACCTTAAGTTCTTTTTCTGAACATTTCAGTTTTTACTGAGCGATTAAATAGGAGTCATTTTGAAAATTAAATTTTTCAAAAAACATAAATTTAACAAAAGGAGCTAATTTGCTTATATTTAATAGAAACCTCCGGGCCTAAAATTTTTTGTGGGTGGACCTGAATTTTTTTTAAAAAAAAATACCCAGGCCATATATTTTAAATCGTCACTATTAGTTACAAAAATTAAAAGAAAATGTAATAAATTTAAAAAATAAGGGCCGGGCCAAAAATTTATTTTTAAAAATAAAACCCGGGTCAGACTAAAAAAAAAATTTTACAGGCCGGGCCATGAAAATGGTGCCTCTGCAGGCCTCTGATATTTTAGATTGTAATTAGAGGTTGACGCAGTTAGAAAACCCGGCCCACAAAAAGATTTTCAGAATGGGCAAAGCAAATTATGCAAAAAATTTTTATTAACTGGTCCGAAGTTTTGAAAATGTTTTTAAAGATAATTGGTGTCTTTTTCCTTTACAAAAAATTATTACGGACAGGGCCCGACAACTTGTACAAAATATATTCGGTCCGAGTAAAAATAATAGGGCCGGAAAATTTACACGGTTGTCCTAATTATGATAATGAAAAATTTGGAATAAAATGTTTGTATATTGTATTTTCCATTAGGATTATAGAATATAAAATTTTTTTATGAAAAAACAGTTTTTTTTAATCCTTACTATATTTTATTGAAATTATTTCCTTCGTATAATAAACTCCTTTCTTTCTTTCTTTCTTTCTTTCTTTCTTTCTTTCTTTCTTAAATCATTTCAATATTGTTAAAATTAATTGAGACAACAAAAATTTCTAAGTATATTTACCCACTTTAATAAATATGTATTCTATGATTTGTTGATAAGATTACATTATACAGTAAATATTAATTATAATATATTTAATTATTTTATAGAATAATGAGGTTATTTATTAGTTATTTGCGAAGGCTTGGTCTGGGTTAGTTTATTTTGTATTATTTGCTGTAATCGGACAAAATTCCATGGGCATAATTATCCTAAACAAGACAAAAATTCCTTAAAAATAAAAAAATAAGAACAAAAATCCATACAATTTTGTTATCATTTTTTTATGGTTAAGATGATTTTGCAAAAGATATCTCTTTTTTTTCAAATGGCTCAGCTGAGGAACAACCAGTTAAAGAAGGGCCGTTCCTTATTAAATTGTTATTACGGTTTTTTCCAATCAAGGAATTTTTATATAGATAATTTTAATCCTTTTTTTTCAATTTCTGGAGAAATTTATATGCAAAATGCATATGAGAACATTTTAAAATATTATATGTAAGTTGGACAAGTTACATATTTTATATAATTTTATTTTACATTTAACTTGTATTAATATATGGCTCAGAGGCATGATAAATCCCCGCAACCCTGCGTCACCGGTGGTCTCAAGACAAAATTTTACTTTTGCGTTTTGTCTCTAATATCGTTTCAAATATTTTGGAGACAAAATTGGCTGCGATTTTAGCATATTTATTTTATATTTTGATTTAAAATTCGAATTTGCGGGTATAAATCCAGAACTGTCTGAATAGGGTCGAATCAAAAACACATTTCTTAAATTAGAAACCGGATGTTATATTAATTAAAGAATCAATTTTAATAATATTACATATATCATATTAGAAAAAATGCCCTCGATTAAAATAGCATCATATTCAAAACATTTATGATACCTTGAGGCCGTGCCGATGAAATGGGAAATCAAACATCTCCGCTTTATTTTAAAAATAAATAGTTCTGCTCTCGCATGTCTTCAGGAAACGTCGTAACTAAAGCCTATAACCGTACTCCCAATTCTCCCCGAATACTCGTATCTAACACACCCCCGGTAAGATCATTCTACGAGCCCGAAAAATTTTTTTTTACCGATTCTCCCACCCTCAGAAACCGATCCACTGTAATCCATAAATTTGTCAAATCATCTACCGCTAATGGTGTTGTCAACGGGGAAGCCGCCCATCAAAGTGTGGCTGATGAAGTTTATCCGCTCACCGAGCCCTCCCTTTCCGATTTAGTACAAGCTGATCCCCCTCCAAAATTACGGCGAAAACGTCGCGCGGCCGTCAAACACCGTCTATCCGTGCTTCGGCCTGTGTTTGGTATATCACTCGCGCTGCTGCAGTGTGCAGCAATGGCCTTTGTATACCTCATGGTTTCGTTCGTGCGCAAGAAAGGAGGGAAGAATAACGACAACAACCAATACAACGACGAACCGAGTGTCTCGCCTCTCCTCATAAGCAACATGCGCATGTTCCTACAGCTACTGGTGACTGCACCGCTTGCGGTATTTCACGGTGATCCCTTAATTCCTCCACGTCGCTACGCGTTGGCAGTTTTTATCAGATGCATGGCGGGTTCCCTGGGTGTAGTTTCACTTATGTTTGCCATGTCTTATGCCCCTATCTCTGATGCAAGCTCCATCGTATACACTTCACCCATTTTCGTGGCCATATTAGCTCGCCTGTTCCTTGGGGAGAGGCTATCCTTTTTGGACTCAGCTCTTCTGAGCGTCACTGTCGTGGGCGTCATTTTTATCACACGGCCTGCCTTTATTTTTAAGCACTTGCTCCCCAGGGATGAGCCAGCTGAGTTCCTTGACCAGAAGTACCCCAATCACTATCTTGGCCTGGCATTCGCTGTTGCTTCCGCTTTCACTAGCTCTGCCGCCATAGTAGCCATTCGCAAAGTCCGGTCATTACCTTTCTCACTCATCCTCGTGGACTTTAGCCTAGTGGGCATCGTCGTGACAACGGCCCTGTGCTTAGGCATGCAGGCTTACTCCTTGCCACCTTGCGACTCCTGGGATCGTCATCTCCTCATTGGAAGTGCCCTGCTCGGCACCCTGGGACAGTTCTTTTTATATGGCGCTCTTCGGTTTGAGAATGCTGGCATAATTTCTGCCACCGCTAGCATGGGAATTGTTTTCACATTTATACTGCAAATCGTGTTTCGTGGCGAAAATCCACCTTGGACCAGCGTTTTGGGCGCCTCACTCGTCACCTTCAGTATAACCTGCCTAGGACTACGCAAGTGGCTAGCAAGCCGGCGCGACGCTAAACGTGGAAGCCTCAAATCCAAAAAAGACACTGCAGCTATTGATATCACCAGTCCTGTCGCCATCAAGACCCAACCAGTGCTATCCCTGCCTTCTCAGCCTCTCGCTTTACCTGTGCTAGCCAAGAGTGATACATCTCTTTTTTCCCAGACAGGTTCTATTAAACCGTCTAAAAAGGTGAGCGATACTTCATTCAAGGCTGGAAGCTTCGCAAGTTGGATAGAGGGTCTAGAACGGATTAGTCTAGGCTGCCGTGATTCGAGTAGGTCCTCTTCCAAGTATTCCCACTACAACGTGTTCGAGAACAAAGGGGTTGCATCCTCCGTCGAAGGTGTGCTCGATCTAGAAGAAAAGAATAAGAAAAATCAATCCGAGCAAGAAAACCGCGAGATAAGCCATGGAGAAGAAAGCGAAATTGAGGAGAACTGTTACGATAGCGAAGAGAGCGTTGCCTACGGTACGGTATCTCCCGCTCCTGACTAAGGCATGGTTTTATTGGTTCAAGATAAATATTTGTTTTAATGATAAATGTTATCTAAAACATTTTTTTACTAGTTATATTCCCATGTTACCTACTTTTTACGGGTTATTTTATAATCCATAGAACTTTATAGCAAAAATTGTTTAACCCATTCATATACTTTAAATGGCTTAATTCCCATGATATCCCTCCAAAAAAAGATTTTTATTGTTGTTTTTTAATTTAAAAAATATCGTTAAAGTATGAATATTGTTATATTAAGATTTCTTGATGAATATCTATACTATCAATCAATTATTACATACAAAAAATGCACATTATATTAATTTTTTATTAATATTATTTTTTATATGTTTTTAACCCCCTCCCCCCACTCAATTTTATCTTTTTGATTCAATCAAACTCAATATCCCATCTATCAGTTGTCTGTATAATTGGAATGATATTTTGTATAACCTCACCTTACTAAGTAACCTGATCGTGACTTATCCCATCTTAGCACATTATATACACCCTCCCACTTTTTTTGTCAATTGTATGATTTTATTCATTGGTTTTAAAAAAATATTTAAAAACGTGTGTAGTAAAGGATTAGCTCAAAAATTTACAACTTTTTTCCTCCTCCAGTTTACCATTTTGTCCCTACCAAAGATTGACTGACTTCATATATTATTAATTTTGACATTTCCGGGTTTTCCCGCTAAAAAACCTCATGATCGGGCTAACTTGACTAACACTTACCCAAACAATAATGATAATATGTTCTATTTATAATAGCGTTGTCATCTCATTTAACAAATACAAACTAGTCAATTGAATATATTTTTTTTCTTATTTGAAAATTATATTATATAAATAACAAATTTTATATTTAAATTTATAGTAATATTGTTTTAAAATCAAATATAATTTATTTAGTCAAATTTTATAATATTATATAATCCCCCTATATCTATCATAATATACAATAACTATCCCGTTTTGTATAAATATATTAATTAGTTAAAAAAAATAATAGTTCATATATATTCTTTTTTTATTTATTTTAATTTTTTAAACGCTATTTCTTCTTTGCTAAGGGGTTTACAATTTACGCAATGTGATATCTTTTACAAAAATCTTTATATATTATCTTACATTATAATAATATATTTTCTTTTCTACCTTTTTTTATCTCTTTATGATTTTTATTTGTAATCAATTTTAAGTTTGAATTAAAAAATCTCGTTTTTAGAAGTAAATACCTTTAAAACTTTACAAAGAACGGATAATCCTGAACTTTACGAATTTTGCATCACCTATCTATGATTTATTAATTTTAAATTTGAGTTATTATATCTCATTTTCAAATTTATTTTGATATTTAAAATGGTATCTATTGTTTTTTTAAACTTTATTATTCTCCTTTGACAAAATTTTATTCGCCAATATGCGTTTTAAATACATTAAATATTTTAGTAGCGCCATAAAAATACTCCTTTTATTATAGTTAATTCAAGAAAGATTTACTACTATTTAGATATATAAAAATACTTTTTAAAAGCATTTTATTTATGATGAATACAATCACATTATTATTGTAAATTTTATATAAAAAAATATCTTATTTAAAATCATAGGTTATAACTGGGCAATTGTTGTATATTCTTCCAATTTCTTTTTCCTTGACATCCAGCCCCACAATATTTATAATTATTTTAAAATGAAGACGTTTGTTATACAATATAATTATTATAATTTTTGCAGTGAAATCGACATGAATCTAAATTCATTTTAATAATAAAAAAAATAAAATAGAAATTCAGGGAGATACGTTTCAGTAATATTTGTGCATTACTTTATTATTTTTGAAAAATTTTATTAAAATCAATAATACGTATATATATATCAGAGATCTACCGGCCCGGATAGTGAAATTTTAGAAATTCGAGCCGAGCTTAAAATATAAACCAGAGACTAAAAGTATTTTAGATAACGTAGGCGGAACCGATTAAAATTTTTTTTTTTTAATTGTATCGATTAACTGTTGTAGAATCATATTTGAATTGTTTAGCATTCATTTTATCTGCTCCTATTTTCAATTTTCCTTCGAAATAATTTAGAAAATACAGGCAAATTATTTAAAATAACGAAATTTTAAAAAATCCGAGGTGCGCAAAAATAATTAAAATTTAAAAAATCTGAATTGGGCTTAAATATTAAAAAATATACCCTGAGGACCAAAAATATTTTTTTCTAAATACCTTTTTCATTTTGTAAGGTATTCATATCACGGATAGCTCCAAGGAAAAATTTAATGTTGACACAAAATAAATAATTAAAGGATTTGTTAGTATAATTCACAAAAGTCTAGCGTTAATCATTCAAAATTAGAATTGAATAAAATTATCGTAAATTAGATTAAAAATATATCTAAATAATTGCACCTTTGGAATCAGGTTATCCTTGAAACCTAGGCATTGAGATTAGCTATCGGCCAAAAGAAGAAACTTTCATGAGGCTCTTCAATAAGTTTTCATATGTAGGGCCTAATCCTTTGAAGCACTATAAAGCTAAATTGCCAAAAGTTGTTAATAGAAATTGGGATAAAAATATGGTCAGAGATTTCCTAGTGACAATTATTCTTTTTGTTCCAGAATGTTGGGAGTTTGGTTGGAGTCATGGATCAATTTGAGATGCTCCAATCTAGAGGTTTAGAAAATCAAATTAGCCTATTACCGACTGTCTAAAGCAACCGGGGAATTCTATATTAGTGGCATTTATCCTAAATTTATTGCCCGTTGGAGGTCGAGTTAAACTGGTTATTTATGGAACGACATTGTAGATGTGTTCTTTATTGCTGCTAATGGGAGAGCGGCAACCCGAGTAGGTATGAGAGAGGGGGACTAAGCAGTTAAGGATAATATCGATGGTGTGAGCCAGTTCATTATTGTAACTAAAGATTTGTGGAAAATTAATGGTTGTTTATATTGAGTGGTCATTTGATTGTATGCTAGATCGGATGTGAAACTGATACCTAATACATTATTTTTGGTGAGTAACTAGTAGTGTTGTTAAACGGCTCTTTTTGTGCCGATTTTTATAAACGGATAACTCAATATTTTATTCAGAAAAATATTACGCAAACCTGAAGATTTTGCTCATATCAAAATCTCAAGGCTTAGGCAATATTTTTCTGGCTAAAATATTGAGTAAGTCGTTCTGAAAAATCGGCTCTAAACGAGCCGTTTAACATCACTAGTAACTACAGTGAAAGGGGGGATATTTTTTACCAGATGTTAAGACAAAATAAAATGATAATATTATATTGTTATTTTAATCATACTTAAACATTAATCTATGTTAAAAAAATATTAAACAACTTTTTTAAATGTCACACTTAAAAAAATTTTTTTATAAAAAAATATAAAAAGTTTTGTCATCACTATTTTCTCTTACTTAGTTAACGATATTTTATGTAGAATAATTTTAAAAATAACGATAAATTATTCATCTTAGTTATTAGATCTTAGTCAAAATCTTTTATTTCTGAAAATAGTTTTTTTTCACTCTATTTTATCATGTTTGAAATATAAATTTAATTCAATATTTTATTCAATTCATATATTACATATAAACAATATATAATAAGAAATATATTCGTAATTACACTAATACATTAATATCGATTATATACGATATTTAAATGGTAGTTCATGGTCATCCCAAATTTCTTGTTAAGTAGTATCTATTTAATTAAAATATTAAAAGTTAATCGTAATTTATTATATAATTAGACTACTTTAGTCAATTGGTAGTCTACGATAGCCCAGCTCCAAATAATAATTTGTTTTTCAATGTTTGATGTATTCTTTATTTTTCTCCCTCTTTGTTTAAGAGTGAGTTCTTTTAAGGGATTCACCAATAATTTCTGGGAATGTATCCCGTTTTATTTTATGAATCGAGACCTTCGACATATTAACAAATTTCGCTATGTCCTTAATCTTCATCTGTTCCTCCTCTGAGCTAAGATTTTTATTACCATGTCAATCTTTCCTTTGTTACAACAATGGTATGTTCTTTTGGTTTTAGGAATAATGGAGAAGAGGATGATTTGTATTTTCATTAATGGTAGCTAAAGAATTATATTTGTGGAAATGTTAGAATATGATTGATAATTTTCCATCTCATTCTCATCTGAGATGGGCAAAGAATAATTTACAGAAGTAATTGGGAATAAAGGAGAATTATTAATATGTGAAATATATTATACATCATTAATTAAATTAAATATGAAAATATTAAAAAAATATTGTAAATACCCTTTTTATGCAAAATTAATTTTTTTTTAATTGTACAAACTTCAAGTGCGACATTTTTTAAAAAAGTTGTTTAATATTTTTTTAACATAGATTAATGTTTAAGTATGATTAAAATAAAAATATAATATTATCATTTTATTTTGTTATAACATCTGGTAAAAAATATCCCCCCTGTTGTGTTTTGTACTTTTACAATTACGCATATATTCGTTCCCAAAGTAGTTTGTTCCCAAAATAATTATGAAAATCCAAGAGATTAATGCTAAATCGCAACAATTATCAATAAGAAAATTGTAAAGTATATATTATTTAATTTGCATATAATAATTAATTTTTTTAGAAAACTAGGCAAAACAAAGAGTGCATATAAACAAAGCTATTATTCAAATTCTAATAATCAAATGGTTCAATATAGTTTGATCAAATCAAAATACAACAATAATATTATCTATTCTAACAAAAATTTAATTCAATTTATACATTATCATGCAAAAAAAAGAGATTACATTTTTATATATTAACTAAAAATTTTATTATGAGATATTTCATATAAATTTTAATAATGTTATATCAAAGATATATTTATAATAAAGAGTTTGCTAAAATATTGTAAATTATCTGCTATTTATATCATTTTTAAACAAAGCTATTATACAAATTCTAATAATCAAATGGTTAGCAATAATATTATCTATTCTAAGAAAAATTTAATTCAATTTATACATTATCATGCAAAAAAAAGAGATTGCATTTTTATATATTAATTAAAAATTTTATTATGAGATATTTCATATAAATTTTAATGATGTTATATCAAAGATATATTTATAATACAATTGTGCTGTCTATTATATATTAATGGATCTAGAGCATTAAGAGTTTGCTAAAATATTGTAAATTATCTGCTATTTATTTTTTAATATATACTGTTCTTGTATTAATATAAATATTAATTACCATTTAGCCATTTAAATTTAATTTAAAATAAAAAGCATTTTTTAATTTATTTGCCAAATCTGTTACAACGTTTCAAAATTATACAATTTTATAATCGCTTCAAATATATTTGTGGCCATTTTAGGTCATTTGACGTTTTTTCACAAATGTTCATACGATCTAGTGGACCCTAACCTAATTTTAGATACGAGATGTCAGTTAACTTCTACATTATATGTAGACATACATATATATTTATATATAGGAGATGTCAGTTATTTTCAACGTTATTTGTATTCATACATATATTTATAATATTATATATGAAATGTTTATACATATATTGCTCGTGGAGCAATTATTAATTATCATTGTCTTGGATTTTCTTTTGTTTTGTATTCGGTATAATCATCTGGTAATATTCAGAAAATAAAGTAGTGCAAATCAAATATTCTTTTCCGGAAGGTTTGAAAGTAAGTAAGATAAGGAGGTGGAGAGGTAAGGGAAGGTTTTTTTACAGTTTACAGATATTGGAAGTGTGGCAGCAATAATGATCAAGAGCTATG